CCCTTCTTAAGCCCTCTCGCTCTTCCTCCTCTCCCCTCTTTCCTTCTCCCTCTTCCCTCTGTCCTTCCCCTCTCCCCCCTTTCCGTTGGTCTCCCTGGTGCCGCGTTCACCGCACGAGGCTCTGGCACTCTCTTCCCTACCCCCTCTCTCCCCCACCCCGTTTTTCTTCCCTTCCTTTACCTCCTTTTTCTCTCCCCTTTGCCCTTCCCCACTTTTCACCTCCGTCACCCCCCCTTTCTTTCCCCACTAATACCCCCTCCCTTGTTCCTCCTCCAATCTCCCTCTTTCCTTTCCTCCCCCCTCCTTTACCCTTCCCCTCCCTCCCCCATCCTCTTTCCTCCCCGTCCTTTTCCTCCCCACCCCCCTCTTTTCTCTACTCTCCCTCCCTCTCCCTCTTCCCTTTCTATCTTCCCTCCCCCCCTCTCTTCCCCCCCTCTTCCTCCCCGCGTGGCATTCGTGGAACACCGTCTGGCTAACACCTCGGTTGCCTCCTGGGTCGTACGTCTTGAGGGGAAAGAGGGGAGAGGGAGGGAGAGGAAAGGGGAGAGGGGGAAGAGGGGAGAGGGAGAGAGAGGGAGAGGGGAAGGGGAAAGAGGGGAGAGGAGGAGAGAGGAAGAGTGGATAATGGAGAAGAGAAAGAGGGGAGAGGGAGAGAGTGGAAGAAGGGAGAGGGAGAGAGAGGAAGAGGGGAAGGGGAAAGAAGGAAGAGGGGAAAGGGAGAGAGAGGAAGAGTGGAGAATGGAGAAGGGAAAGAGGGGAGAGGGAAAGAGGGTGAGAGAGGAAGAGGGGAAGGGGAAAGAGGGGAGAGCGAGAGAGAGAGAGGAAGAGGGGAGAGGGTAAGAGAAGAGAGGGGATTGAGGGGAGAGGGAGAGAGAGGAAGAGGGGAGAGGGGAATTTAGGGGGAAGGAAGGGTTATGGTGGGTATGGGAGGGTAGTGAGGGGTATAGTTGGATGGGGAGAAGGTAGGAGTGAACATGGGGAGGGGGTAAGGAGGGAAGGGGAAAAGGAGGAATGAGAGTAGGGGAAAGGGAGAAAAAGAGAAAGGAGGGAAATATAAGATGAGAGGAGAAGGAAATGGAAAGGCCAGAGAACAAGGGAGACGAAAAAGAGGTGGAAGGAGGAAGGAGACGGGGAAGAGAATGAGAGGATAAAAAAAAGGAGAATAAAGGGAGGTAAGGGAAATGGAGGGGGGGGGGAGGAAAGAGCGGGGAAAGGGGAAAGAGGGTGTGAGGGGGAAAAGGAGGGAGAAGGAATGAGGGAGGGAGGGAGGGAGGGAGGGAGGGGGGTGGAACTCGCTGTGATGTGGGTTCTTGGCTTATCCGACATTCCTCTCGCTTCTCTTCTTCTTTTATCTCTCTATCTCTATCCCTCTCTGTTATTTGCCTCTACCCAGCCCCTCTCTGTGTTTCTTCCCTTTTTTTTTTTTTTTTTTTTTCATTGCATGTAAATCCTTCCCTTTTCTCCCCACTTCCCCTTCCTCCCCTCTGTCTCTCTCTCTCTCTACCCTGTCTCTCTTTCTCTCCTTCCTTTCTATCTGTTTTTCTTTTCGTATCTCTCTGATTTCTGTTTTCTCTCACTTCTCTCTGTCTCCTATTCTCCACTCTTCTGTCTTTCTTTCTTTACCTTGCTTACCCCTCTCTGTCTCCTTTTCTTCCTTCTTCCCTTTCTCTCTCTCTGTTTCTCTCCAATCTTTCATCACCACTTATCCGCTTGCCTTTTCTCTCTCCCCTATCTCTCTTTCCCCTCTCTTCATTTTCCTTTCATTTCTCTTACTCTATCTCACCTTTACTTCATTCCCTCTTTCGCTCTCCGTTTCTCTTTTCTTCCCCTCTCCTCACCTATACTGTTCCCCTCCTCTCCTCCTCTTCCACTTCCCTTCTAGCATCCCCTTCCCACTTTCCTCTCCTCTCCACCCCCTCTCTTCTCACTTACCCTCCCTTCCCCCTCCTCTCCTTCCCCTCTCTCCTGATTTGTCACATCTTCCCCTTTGCCTCCCCTCTCCCTTCCATCTCTCCCCTCTTTTCCCTTTCTCCTCTCCTCCCCTATCCGATTTCTCCCTTTCCCTGTTCCTTCTCTCTCTTCTTCCTCCTCTACTGCCTCTTCCCCTATACCCTCCCCTTTCTCCTCTGTCTCTCCTCTATTGCTCCGTTTCCTCTTCCCTTATTTCCCTCTCACCAACCTACCCTCTTCCCCCCTTCCCTTCTGCCTCCCATCTTCGTCTCTACCCACCCTACCCTATCTCCCCCTTCCCCTCTGCCTCCCCTATCTCCCCCTTCCCCTCTGCCTCCCCTCCCCTCTCCCTCCCTCTGCCGCGTCTTCCCCGCTGCCATATATTCTTAGGCAAACACCGGGACGTGATGTTAAGGCAGATCTTCTACACTGATTTCTTCGAACGTCCGTCCCATTAACACTCGGTTATCCCATACAGCTCCCACACACATACACACATACACATCTACAGATACACAGACACACATACATACATGTAGACAGATAGCAG